GATACACAAGCCGTCATTAGCTGGCATCCAGCAGGCTGGCTGGCCGGCCGATGTTTATTCGAGAAACGTAGATGGTTTCCCAGATTTGCACATACAAAAAAATAAATAAATCATCTGAAACGTCCATCATACCATTTGAGTCAATGTTAGCCTGGCCAATGCGGTTACAGAAAGACCATCCCTGGAGAGCACGAGACAGAATCCATCAGGAAGGCGAGCAAATTCCCCAAGTTTGGGGGGCTTCCATCTCCCCAACGCTGCCATCAGTTCTGGGCCATCAGCGAAAATCTAAATTTATATGGAGGGAAACAAAAAAAGCATTTCATCAGCCATCAGAATGTGGAGTTGCCCTTGAATTCCAGATGCTTTACAGGGTGGTGGTGGGTCTGACTTGTGATTCTACAACTACGGGGAGGGGGGGAACCCTTGCAACATAAATGGATCAATTAAAAGAGCGGCTTTTGACAGTGCTGGGGTGGATTAACGGCACCCCCTTGATAGCATCGCGCAGGTTTCCCTACTGAGTGAGATCCATCTGTTGGGTTGATGGTCTTATGCAAGGAGGAGGGGAAAAAAATCAGTTTATCTGCACAGCGCAGGGACTGTCGTTCTGACAAACAACTGGAGGCACCGATGGGAGAGAGGAGGAAGAAGAGAATTTTGCTAAACAATGTAATAGGTCACTTCCTCGCCGGCTGCTCAAGCGAGAGGCAGAAAGGAAAAAGACGGCACAATGCATGTCCTATCAAGAAGAGGTTCCATTCAACTCTGCAACTTCCCCCACCCACCCCCATAGAAATGACAGCATGTCAAGACTGGCATTATTGTGAGATATATATATTTACTTAACATGACACAGAAGTTCTTTCAAGGGAAAACTATTATCTTGCTCTACCTGAGGGCTGGGTGTTCACAGCAGAGAGAAGAAAAGGTGTTTTTTTGGGGGGGGGGAAATAGGGAATGATAATTGCCACAATCCCACCATTGGCATGAGACAAGCAGAACAGCTATGTGTTGCACTTTGAATTTCTGGGGAGGGGAGAAGCAAGATATAGGTGTAACAAGCTAAATAAATTGATCTATAGACCCATCTTGAACCAGATGCATGTTGAAGTACAGAATGCTAAATTGGAGCAGCAGGCTTTGGGCAAAAACCTGGTTCGAGAATTGTCCCTACATAAGGGTGATGATCTCAATGGCAAGGGGAATTTTTCAGAAACTAAAAAGCATGCTTTCTAGTTTCTGAAAAGTAAAGGCTTTAAATGTAAAGTAGATGATATTTTATGAAAAAAAAAACTAGTGCTACTGCTGGTGAAAAAGCAAAAATGTTCACAGGGATTGCTCAGAGTGTCTGGATGTGTCTCATCAAGGGGGAGAAGATTTGTGAGTATTCATTACATCCGTCCTTTGGGTAGACCTGGGACTGATCTTTTGATGCCTGAGAAAACTCTTCCCTCTCGTAGCAAGCAAACGCTTTTAAGCCAGCAGTCCTATTTACCAAATCGCTAACAATACGGTTGCCCTTCGGAAAGGACAAAGAGGAGGAGATTTTACTCAGCATTTTGACTGGGCATCCTTTTCCATTGACTTTTGGCCCTGGATAGGAAAATATATACAGTATCTCTATATAAGCACGAGGCATTCCTCTTGTTTCCTGTTAGCCAGCACCTCCACCTTCTGGTCATGACAGAAATAAGAAACTCACAGGTGACTAAAGAAATCAAAGACATCCCTGTGATCACTACGTAATAAGTAGGCGATACACTGAGAATATCCATGTGATCTGCTAGCTTTCGTGGATCAAGATCGTCCACTTCATCAGGCTTTTTAGACGGTCGAGAACCTGCGGTCCGAAAAGTGAACGGCAAGCTGGAATTTACCAGGCGTTTTTCTCTCCAACGGAAGTCAGGATGTTTTACCACGTAGTGGCCTCCCTATTCCGACTCACGTGTGTGAAGAAGTGGGAAAATGTTCCACGAAAGCTTACGTTAAAATAGAGCACTTTAAAGTGCTAAGATGTCATTTTGCTTTTGCTTCATTCTGTGTTTCTTGTTGAAATAAGAAAACACAGAGGAAATGCCTAGCATGAGCTCCTGTTCTGGGTTCGAGGCAGGAACGACTCCAGGTCGTTCCAACTCTCGCCCCTCTCTGCCTCTCCCCACAAGCTCACATCTTGTGGGCCCTGAAGCACACTCACTCCTCAATCAGGGGTTTCAAGGATTCCCCCTGCTGCAGATTTATTTCTCCTACTTCCCTTTTTCCAAACATCTACAAACCAACCCAGAGTCTGCCCGCAAAGCTGCTCCTCCTTGTGAGCACGAGAGAGAGGCTGTTCTCATTAACAGCCTGGAAATGGAAAGGACGATCGTGTGAGCCACCCGGCTGCCCAAAGCTTTTCAGCAGAAAGCAGAGTTGGCTCGTAGGAGATACGATGCACTGTTCATTTGGAAGACGCATGGCACACCGAGAAAGCCGGATATGCCACAAAGCGATCTGGATACTGGGGAATAGAGTCATGTACCAGCATTTCCTGATTCCACAGCGTTATTTTAGGAGTGGCTAGCCTCTTCCGCAGTGGGAAACTGCGCAACAAAATCAGGATGTTTACTTTACCCTCTCTGTTTTTATAAACGATGGCCATGGGCTCTTAATTTTAGCGCAATGTGGCTCAAAGCTTTAAAGAACAAAGCATTCTCTTTCTTAACCATCAGTGAAGTTATTATATTCAGTAAATACATTGGGGGGGAGGAAAGATTAACTATACAGAGCAGTCGGTTTTCAGCTAGCATAAGCCTTTGAGCTGCGCAGATCAACGTAGATTTTCCAGGCCTAGCAAGGAGATCTGGCTGTTTCTTAACATCTGCTGAGTTTGCCGAGCTTTTAAAAAATCAGTCCTAGAACTCATGATGACACACTGAAAAGAGAGAGGCCGAATGGAATGTCGGGACACTGCTGGATGACACACGAAGCCTCTCGTCCACAGCCAGCGTGCTCCTCGGCAGCCATCAAATCTTTGGTACCAAGTCCCAAGTCCAAGTCTTTGGTACCAAGCCCCAAGTCCAAGTCTTTGGTACCAAGTCTTTGGTACAAAGTCCCAAGTTCAAGTCTTTGGTACAAAGTCCCAAGTCCAAGTCTTTGATACCAAGTCCCAAGTCCAAGTCTTTGGTACCAAGTCCCAAGTCCAAGTCTTTGGTACCAAGTCCCAAGTCCAAGTTTTTGGTAGCAAGTCCCAAGTCCGAGTCCCTACTAAAAATAAGCTTTTTCCCCCATAAAAAAAGAGAGGGGTAGGTGAGTTCCAAGTGTGACTCTTTCCAAGTCTTTGGTACCAAGTACCAAGTCCAAGTCTTTGATACCAAGTCCCAAGTCCAAGGCCCAATTAAAAATAAGCTTTTTCCCCCCATAAAAAGAGAGAGGTAGGTGAGTTCCAAGTGTGACTCACTGGAAAAAGAACCCAAGCCAAGTCACCGGTGTGGCTTAAGTCCGACTTGACAGCCATTTCTGCGACTCGGGTCCCATCCCGGCATAAGGGTGAGGCTAACCCGTCCCCAACTATTAGAGGAGAACAGCCCATTGCCTTCCAGTGGAATGAAAAGCAGATTAGCTTAAAGCGCTGACTGCCACGTAACTGATTTGCAGGCAAGGATGTTCAGATGTTCAAAATGGAAAGAGGGTGGGGTGGGGGACACAAAAGCGGAGAAGCTGGCCTATGTTTAATCAGACCACCGGTTCATGGAGGCCAGACTGATCAATTCTGTCCCATAGGGCAGTAAAGCGTTTCAGAGAGGATAAGTTCTCCGTCCTTCCTGGAGGTCCCGGATGTTTCCTGGTGGTCTCCAGAATCAGCCCTGCTTGTGGTCCCAAATCAAACCAGATCGGATGCGTTCAAGATGGTTTGGGGTCAAACCTTGGTGTCACAGGGAAAGGGGGGCACCCAAGGTCTGGATTCATCCCCTGGCCTTGAGGTTTCTTTGCCGTCGTTTAGTCGTGTCTGACTCTTCATGACCCCATGGACCAGAGCACGCCAGGCCCTCCTGCCTTCCACTGCCTCCTGGAGTTGTGTCAAATTCATGTTGGTCATTTCGATGACACTGCCCATCCATCTCGTCCTCTGTCATCCCCTTTGTTTGTTAAGAAACCTATAACAAAGGTTATAGGTTTCTTAGGGAACCTATAACCTTTGTAACTGCTAGTCATTAAATATAGAAAAGTGTTTTGTTGGAGTTGAGATTCTTAAGTAGACCCTTCAGCATCTCCCCAGGACTTCCTGGGACAAAGTGCAACTCACCTCAACCGTTTGCTGATTTGCACGGCCCACGAGGAGATCTGAAGAAATCAAGTAGGAAGAAAAGCACACTTACCTTCCAGAAGCATAAACAGCTAGAAGGCACAAGAAGGTGTATAATTGAAAAAATACACCAGGACACACCTTCAGCCAGTGGGGGGGAAAGGCACACAAAAATGCGGATGCATGCAAAAACTGTGTGCAAGTATTACTCAAACTGTAAAAACAAAGCCTTGCCAACTAATACAAAAATGCCAGGCTGAGAATTTGGGTGGAATCTGAGAAATGCAACAAACTTAAGATTAAAAGTTTCTCCTGTCCCTAGCAGGGACTCAATTTGAGTTCACCCCCTTTTAACGCCACTTAAAAGTCAGCATCATAACCCTTGATCGCCAATTGCACATTTGAACAAAGCCTTGCCAACTAATACAAAAATGCCAGGCTGAGAATTTGGGTGGAATCTGAGAAATGCAACAAACTTAAGATTAAAAGTTTCTCCTGTCCCTAGAAGGGACTCAATTTGAGTTCACCCCCTTTTCGCGCCACTTAAAGTCAGCATCATATCCCGTGATCGCCAATTGCGCATTTGGCCAATCCTGTTAACAGAACCGGGGAAAGTTATCTTTTAGATGACAAACTGGAATTCCCCGGCCAGACCAAGGAAAGTAACTATTCTGAAGCTCTCACTCACACAAGCTGAAATTGAGCAATGGCTGGAAATTGAAACGGCAATCACAAACCTAAACGTCTGCTCTTTCCTCCTTGAGCTGTTGGACCACTTCTGTCACGTGCTCTTTCCGTTGTCGATCCAGGGATGGCTCTTAACCTCAGCAACCGGTGACGGTTGGATCCGAGCCGGATCGCTTCGTGATGTGAAGCTTGGTGATTTCCTCCGCACACGTAGGGTGAATCCCGACGGTCTTCATCATCTGCGAATAAGTAGCACCGCATCTACAGAGGGGAGGGGGCAAAGACAGAGCCGCTGAGAAGGATATCAATAGCAGTAAGCCATCTGACGCTGGGCTACCACACTGTCTAGAATCCATGGTCGGCGTTTCTCTAGAATAAACACCATTCGCTCATTCGTTGAACCCAGATGATGGCATTTATCAAATCGTTACCTTGAAGAATTTTTTTCAAGCCATTCCAGCCCATTTTCTATGTTTTTTGCTAACATAAAATGAAATGATAGCACCATTAAGAAACGTCCCAACAACCACACATATAGGAACCAGGGAAACTGAGGTTATGGACTTTGCTTTTCTCCTTGGCACAGATCAGGAAGGACTTTGGACCACTGCCTTGCCCAGTCTGATTTATTTTAAAGTAATTTTCTTGTTGTTCTGTGTTGCCAAGTCAGAACTGTCTTATAATGACACTAACGAGGCTTTCAAGGTCAAGGGGGGTGTAGCTAAGGAGTGGTTTGACTCGTCCCTCGCCCCCAATGAGTTTCCATAGCTGACTGGGGATTTGAACCCGAATTTCCAGAGTCCTAGTCCATCACTCTATACAGTGGTGCCCAGCTTGACTATTACCCTGCTTGATGACGATTCCGCTTTACGATGAGTTTTTTGCGATTGCTATTCCGATCGCAAAACAATGTTTAAATGGGGAAAATTCGCTTTACGATGATCGGTTCCCTGCTTCGGGAACCAATTCTTCGCTAAACGATGATTTTAAAACAGCTGATCGGCGGCTCTCAAAATGGACCCCCACTGTGCAAAATGGCTCCCCGCTGTGTTTAGGACGTATTCCTCGCTTAACAGGCACTGGAAAATGGCCGCCCTATAGAGGATGTTCGCTGCACGATGAAGTAGTTCGTCCATTGGAATGCATTGAACCGGTTTTCAATGCATTTCAATGGGTTTTTTACTTTCACTTGACAACGATTTCGTTCTACAGCGATTTTGCTGGAACGGATTATCGTCGTCAAGCGAGGCACCACTGTACACTACACCACACTGGGTATCAAAATAATTTGGAAGGGGAGGGGGGGAAATCTGATGAATGTAGATGTTCAGCTGTATTACAGATGCCTTGCTCATTTTGAACACAAGAGGACAGCAGTGACAAAGGAAAACAACGTGCATAGATTCTGTCTTGTCTCTTGAAATGAGGCAGTGAAATCAGCTGAACTGAAGTATATGCAAAATGAAAGATGCCTTCTTGTGTATGACAGGCAATCGCTTCACACAATACTGATACTGTCTCAGCTCAACAGCTTGCCAGTAGGTTTCTACTTCTAAACTAAAGAGCTTGTGGCCACATTTAAAGCCTGATAACCTATATTTAATTGTCATTCTTACAAAGGGACATTTGCATATCAAGCAGGGTTTAACACCAATGTTGTAAAACATACTTTTACAAAAATCAGATTTATCCTTAGCTTAAGTCTATGTCTTGGGTGTTTGTATGTTCTTCAGCCATAGACCCAGAAGGAGAAAGTTTTTAATTACCAAAATGACTGCTGGTAGATGACATTGCCAACCAGGGAAGATTTTCAGTAATTAAAGATTTCTTCCTTCTGTCCCACAGCTCCCATGGCTTCCATGCCATGAAGAGGATTATGTGGAAGATAGAAAAGCCACAGGACAGAAGTGGGAAGTTGTTCATTGCCAAAAATAGCCCCTGAGGATGATGCCGTCTGCCTTCTGCAGGCGGAGGTTCTGCAGCACTAAAGAGTGCTTGGGAGGGATAATCAGGAGTGGCTGTAGGGATAAAACTGGAGGCAATTTCCATCATCATCATCATCATCATCATCATCATCATCATCATCATCATCATCGCCGTTAAGATAATTCTGACCTTATGGCGACCCTTTTCAGAGTTTTCCGGGTAGAGAATACTCAGAAGTGGTTTACCACTCCCTTCTTCAGCGTCTCGTGGCGCCATGGTTAAGCTGCAGTACAACAGCCAAAACTCTACCCACGACCTGGGTTCAAGCACTCAGAAGTGGTTTACCACTTCCTTCTTCAGAGTCTCGTGGCGCCATGGTTAAACTGCAGTACAGCAGCCAAAACTCTACCCACAACCTGGGTTCAAGCCTACTGTGTTTCCCCAAAAAATAAGACAGGGTCTTATATTAATTTTTGCTTCAAAAAAACGCCTTAGGGCTTATTTTCAGGGGATTTTTTTTTCATGTACCACCATCTACATTTATTCAAATGCAGTCATGTCATCTTTTGGTTGCTGCACAAGGGCAGAGGGCGGAGTTAAACTCAACTGGGGCTTATTTTTGGGGGTAGGGCTTATATTACAAGCATCCTGTAAAGTCCTACTAGGGCTTATTTTCTTCCATGTCGAGCATCCTGTAAAATCCTACTAGGGCTTTTCTTCCATGAAATCCTCTTCATGGCATGGAAGCCGTGGGAGCTGTGGGACGGAAGGAAGAAATCTTTAATTACTTATTTTCGGGGAAACAGTGTAGGTAGCCGGCTGGAAGTTTCACTCAGCATTCCATACTTCTGAGGTCAGTAAATTGACTACCCAACTTCTGGGGGTGGTGGTGTCGGGGGTCGATGGTGGCAATGTGTAGCCTGCGTAATTAAATTATAAACTGCCCAGAGAATGCTCTAAGTGCTATGGGGCAATATATCAACAGTTTCTGGGGTAAACCCGGGATTGTGTAGCTCGCCCAACTGCCCAGAGAGTGCTCTAAGTGCTATGCGGCAATATATCAACAGTTTCTGGGGTAACCCCGGGATTGTGTAGCTCGCCTAGGACCACACAGGCTGACTCTTCTGGGACGCACAGTAGGAAACTGAAGTCTCAACCTCTGGCTGCAGCTCTGCAGCCAGATACCTAAACAACTGAGATATCCAGTCACCAAATGCTCAGTAGTTAAGACAAATTCTTGGTCTCCGCTTGTTTGCAGAGATAACCCGTTCATCACTACAAGTGTATCTCTAGTCTCTGAAGTCCCTTTTTTTCACCACTGTTGGGGAATCATGGGATTCTGGAAAAAGTGGGTCCTACAAGCCTGAAGTCTGCCTGGTCCATTAGAAAACAGAATCATGTAGCAGGGAGTTCCACGGATCAATCGCATGACCTTTCCTTTTGTTGGCTTTGAAGGCTCCCGAGCGGTTCTGAGGCACAAGGCTTGTTCCTGGCTGATTTTTTCCCCCCATTTCGCTTGCTCCCGCCATGCCAGAGGGTGCCGTAGCTGGTCTAATGTTTTTAAAGGAGTTGTTGGGAAAAAAAATCAGACGAGCTTCAGCACCCTCTTCCATTCATTCTTGGCAGGATGTCGAATAATAATAGGTGCGGATCTGAAAAGAAAACCTGAGCTGTCTTTCAAAGCTTTGATGATTCCTTTCTGTATCGAAAGAGAAGCCTCATCATGAAACATAATCAAAACAAGCTTTTGAATGTTTCAATGAAAATTTATTATCCTCCCAACAGACAGCTGTGATAGGCTCCTTTTTATTACCCTTTGAAGCCCAAAGCAGCAAGAGAGTGGATCTAATTTTTTGGGGGTGGGGGTGGCGAAGGAGGAGGGTTGATTCTAAAATTTGCCAAGAAATGTATTTCATAAACATAAATATAAAAATCTGGTATGTCCGTTACTAAGCCCACTATTTCTTTTAAAAAGGACGGCAGTACTTCTAATGAAAATAGAGGAAACAAGACATTAAAGAAACCAAAAACAAAGGTTTTTTTTTTGTCAACCCTGCCAAAAAAAATATCAAAAAATCAAACCACTATCTTTCATAATCTTGCAGTAATTTAAGAAGGGAGGCTTTCGTTAAACTGGGGCAGGGAGAAACAAAGGAAAAGCATTCCTGAGACTTACTTGATTCCAAGGGCAAATCCTTGAATAACTTCGCCGGCGTTTGGACCGATGAAATGGAGGCCCAGGATTTGCTGCTCCTTCTTGAGCAGGCACACCATCTGAAAACAATCCACGCGCGACAGGCAAATGTTCACTGAGAGCAAGCGCGTGAGCCTGGATTAAATTCTGGATCCCCTTCTCTAGACTTGGGCACGAAATGAACCAGAAACCAAATAAACTGGACGGAAGACGCCGGTTCGTGGTTCGTTTGACGAACCGTGACAATTTGTGGTTCGGGGATCCCACATGGTTGTGCTACAGCGAATTTTTTTTCCCCTTTCGCAAAAGGACATGCTGCCGCCATGGGTATCATGCTTGCGGACAGCAGGCTCAGCTTCCCTGTCAGGAGCCTACCACTGCCTCTGAGCATGTGCCCATAGTAGCGCTGCAGAGGTAGCAGGAACAAGTAGCTCCACCACCCCCAGCACAAACTAGAAATGCAGACTGCAAACTGGTTCATTTTTCTGGGGATCTGTGGTGGTTCATGGTTAGCCACAAACCACCACAAAACACCAGTTTTCTGGTTGGTGTTCAACTATACTCTTAACCAGTGATAATTTATTTATTCTATTATATGGTTTACTCTACTGCATTTTTCCATTTATAACATGGCCCTGCTTATAAGACACTCCCCCTCTTTTCTAACCCCCAAATTAAGAAAACTTTGAGGATTCAGCCCCTGGGCTCAGAACAGTCAGACATTTTGAGTCCCTGTTGAATCTGAGCCTACAGGCTCCACCTCCAACGAGGTGTGTTCTAATTGGTTTGTTCAGCATCAGCTGACGTCAGTTCCATAAGGCTCCTGATTGGAGGAAGCCTGTTTACAGAGGCAAGGTACGGGCCGTTTTGTTCTCTCTGTGTTCTCAGCTTACTTCCGTGTATAAGACGCCCCTTAATTTTAGCATGATTTGGGGGCTTCCGTGTATAAGACGCCCCTCAATTTTAGCATGATGATTTTGGGGGAAAGTAGCGTCTTATACTCAGAAAAATACAGTATGTTCTCGAGTACAGCCCGGATCGGCTACAAAGCAATGAAGTATTCATATTCGTATATTATTTAAAATATTTTTACCCTGTCTGTCTCCTACAAAGGACCCAAGGTGGCTTGTATCATTAAAAACATAATATTAAGAGCTAAAAACAGCAAATGATTCAGATTGTAAAGAAGAATTAATAAATTTATATTTAAAATGTTAGGTAAAGAAGCTTTCACAACACCGAATAAGATAATCAATATTATTATTTGGGTCATAACTATAAAATTTGATGGCTAACAACTTCATTTCTTTAGATGTATTATCTTTGTACTTCAACTTTCAATCAGTAATGGGATGGTTATTATTGCTTATGGTTTGCGAATACAGTGGTGCCCCGCATAGCGAGGTTAATCTGTTCCGGATTAACCATCGCTATAAGAAAACATCGCTGAACAGGATGGAAAATGCCATTGGAAATGAGGAAATTTATTTATTTAAAATATTTTTACCCAGCCTTTCTCCTTAAAAGGACCCAAGGTGGCTTGTATCATTAAAAACATAATATTAAGAGCTAAAAACAGCAAATGATTCAGATTGTAAAGAAGAATTAATAAATTTATATTTAAAATGTTAGGTAAAGAAGCTTTCACAACACCGAATAAGATAATCAATATTATTATTTGGGTCATAACTATAAAATTTGATGGCTAACAACTTCATTTCTTTAGATGTATTATCTTTGTATTTACAGTTACTGCTTCAATAAAGTCCGTACTCAAGCGCTTGACTTCAACTTTCAATCAGTAATGGGATGGTTATTATTGCTTATGGTTTGCGAATACAGTGGTGCCCCGCATAGCGAGGTTAATCTGTTCCGGATTAACCATCGCTATAAGAAAACATCGCTGAACAGGATGGAAAATGCCATTGGAATGCATTAAACTTAGTTTAATGCGTTCCAATGGCTTCTGTACTCACCGTTAAGCGAAGTTTTCCCCATCCGCAGCCATTTTCGCGCCCTCGGTAAGCGAGGACAGGGCGCAAAAATGCTGCGCGTGGCCATTTTGGGCGTCCGGCGGCCATTTTGAAACCGCCGAACAGCTGATCCACGGGCGTCGCAATGCGAGTTTTGCCCATTGCGGCGGTTGGGATGCCTTCGCAATAGCGATCCCAAAAAAGGGATCGCTATGTGAATTCATCATTATACGGTGCGCTCGTTAAGCGAGGCACCACTGTAATACAAAATGGCACATTTATGTTCTTAAAAGTTACCAGAAATGATGAACAAACGTAACAGAAGGCCTATAAGTGCCCTTCTTGGGAAAACCTGAGCTTCTTGTTTCTGCCATGGTGGGACCCAGATTCTTTGTAAAATAATTATGTCCCATCAACTCAATTCTGATGGAGAGCATTAGACCCCCACGGATAGGAGTTTTGCATCCCCAGCAGTCAATCATTTTTTAACGTTAAAAAAAAAAATCTAAACACAAAGAAAATCACAGAAACATCAAATAAACAATTAAGAAACATCTACCACGCATACTGTTCTCCACTCCGACTCACTTTTATGTAACATTGAGAGGCCTCTCTTTCGGCCACAGTGAATTCCAGGGGTTTATAAAAGGCGTGGTAGACCTGATGGAAAGGAAACAGAAAAAAAAAATGAGTGTCTGATAGTCTTTTAAATGCATCCTGCACATGGTCTGTATTTTGATACGAAGAATCACAGTTTTGCCAAGAGGGCTACCGAGAAAGCATAGCAGTGTGACCATACCCAATACGGTCGGACAGCGGCATCTGTGGGGGATCAGCTCCAACCAGCCCCCCCCACTGATGCCGAAAAACGAGGAACTATCGAATACTATATATTGCATGGTCTCTAGGTCCCTCTAGTGGTCAGTTCTGGTAACTACACCCTGGATATACATAAAAATATGTATTTCTGGAGTTTTTTTAATTTAGTCTTTTTATACAGCAGCTAAGTGAATCCCGTCAACTGGGGGATCCTACTGCATTCACAAGTGGTTAACCGTTCCTTTCTTCTGGTAGCACCCTGGAACTGTGGAGCTTGCCCAAGGATACACAAGAGACCCAGTTGGGAATTGAATTCCCAACGTCTGGCTCTGCAGCCAGATCCTGAAACGACTTAAGCTATCCAGTCAGCTTACCTCTATATTATCCGCTCCGAATCGGTCCACAGCCGTTTCTTCCGAGAGTCCGACACAGCCGTATTCCAGGGGAGTGAAAACGGTTGTGGGCACCTGTATGACATAAAGCAATCCTTTCTACCTTTCAGCGAAAGGATCGGGGCCCTAATTGCCTTGTCCCCACGGCCACTGCCTAGGGCTAGGGGTAAACTAGAAAAGATACAGGAGATCTGCAAGGCGTATATTGCTGGGGCTAGAACCACAAACCCGTGGCTTCTCATTTGGGCCACGGTTTTTCTGTGGCGCAAACAGGACTTTAATCTTCTATCTCCCGTCTTCCCATATGAAAAGAAGGGGTGATAATGCCTTCCATCAGCCTGGGCAGACTCTCCCAAACAAGCTTCTCACCAAGTTAAGATGGTTACCTCTGGAAGACCAAACCTCATAATACAGTGGTGCCTCGCATAACGAGCGCACCGTTTAACGATGAATCCGCATACCGATGTGGATTTTGCGATCGCTAATATGATCGCATACCGATGTTTCTTTGCATTGCGAGGGGGAACAGCTGTTCGGTGGTGGCCGGAACACCCAAAAAGGCCACCGGAGCCACCCAAAATGGCCGCCAGGACATGGGGAAACATCACAGAATGGTGAGTTTTGGGCCCATTTGGGTTTTTTTGATCTGTATAGCGATGTTTCCCCATATGCGAGACACCACTGTAATAATAATCATGTGCTCTCAAGTCAATTATGTCTTAATTTGATCCTTTTCAGGGTTTTCTAGGTAGAGAATACTCAGATGTGGTTTCCCATTCCCTTCCTCCAGGGGGCGTCCTGGGGACGGTGCAGGTGGCCCAAGGCTACCCAGCCTGGCTCTAGGGGAGACCGAGTGGGGAACTGAACTACCAACCTCTGGATCTGCAGCCGGAGACCTAACTCACTGAGCCGTCCAGACAGCAGTTACCAAAGTGAATAATACCATATTTTTTCCGTGTATAAAACGACACTTTCCCCTTAAATAGTTAGACAAAAAATTGAGGGCCGTTTTATACACGGAAGGCAACCGCTTTCCCTGCCTTTTGCGAAGCCACAGGGCTCCCTTTGGGTAAAGCAGACGTAAAAGGGCTGAACGATCGCACCCCTTTGATCCTGAAGCCCTTTCATGGCTGCGTTACCCACTTCCTAAGCCCCACGGAGATCAAATTTTCTAATTTGGGGGTGAGAAAAGCGGGGCTCATCTTATACATTGGGTCGTCTTATAAACGGAAAAAAAAATACGTAATAGTATCAGCCAGAGCATCTTTAGCGAAAAAAATCATTGTATGTTTTATTGCAGCACTCCTGTGATTGGTGCCATGAAGCATTCCTCTACATACCCACCTTAATTAAGACACTTAGGATCGACTACATTTATAGGCCACTTTAACCCCCCTTGAGCTCAAAATGGTACACACAACTCTCCTCCTTTACTGCTTCATTCTCACATCCTGCTTTCTGGATCGCCTTTCTTGACGTTGGATGGCACAGTGGTTGAACTGCAGTACTGCAGTCAAGCCTCTGCTCAGGTTTTGAGTTTGACCCCGATGGGTTTTTGAACATCAGCTCAGCCTTCCATGCTTCTAAAGTTGGTAACATCAGTACCCAGCATGCTTGGGGGAGGGGGAAAGTTGTTGTTTACAAAAGTCTATTCTAAAATGCCCAGAGAGTGTTTTGACACTATGGGGCAGTAAAGAAGTGTCAAAACAACGAGAAGGGAGCTACCCAATGGATTTGAAGCCTCAAGTGGGGACTAGAATTTGCACACACACACACACCGCTGAGATCCAACACAATATGTCACTGCAACAGCGCATTGGCACTAAGCGTTACATTTCCCCCCCCCCCAAAAAAATGGATTTGTGTCCAAATGGGATTGTGCTGCTGGAAACCAATTTTTGCACGGATTCATTTAATTTCAAAGGTTATAGGAATGGGAGGGGGGAGGGGGAGGGGAGAGACTCATCAACTACTCACATTATCGTAATCCATCAATTCTGCAGATTGGCCAAACAACCGGCGAGCCAGACATTTCCCTGCGGCGATCGCTGTCGGTGTTAGCTCTGGGCGACCCTAACAAATGTTGACCAAAAAGTTTTAAAAATTAGATTAAAAAAAAAAAGTCCCAAGGAATGACAACAAGCAAACGAAGACGACTTCTTTAAAAATAGCACAGGGTTCGAAAGATAACGGATGCAAGAACCAATGGTAATCATCCTCTTCGCTGATGCCTGCTGCAGGGCCCAGGAGCATGGCGGGTAAATTAGGTTGATCTTCTTGGTGTGCCAGGTTGTGTATCTGCTCATACCCCTGGGGCACTGCTATCTCTCAGGGGCGAAAACGTGTAGTGCAGCCAAGAACGTTGTAAAATCATGCCTGGTTTGGGCAAAGACACAGTTGTTCTGTGCATCTTGTTGTAGAAATGATGTTGTTGTTGTGTGCCGTTAAGTTGATTGTGACATGGTGAGCCTTTTTCAAAGTTTTCTAGATAGAGTGTACTCCGAAGTGGCATACCATTCCTTTCCTCTAGGGGGAGCCCTGGGACGGTGCAGCTGGCCCAAGACTACCCAGGCTGGCTTTTCTCCCAGGAGGCACACAGTGGGGGAACTGAACTCCTACGTTCGACTAGATAGGCGGGATATAAATGCAATAAATAAATAATAAATAAAAGTAATCAGAGACATACACCACTGAGCTATTCAGACAGTCATTATAGAGATGAGTCAGGAGGGAAATGGACTGTACAGTGTAGAAACAAAAAAAAATTAAAATTTCATGTGGGTCCCCATGTTCAGGATTTATCCCAAGGTGTAGACGAAGGAACACTCTCTCTTTTCCAAACAAAGCGTTCTGACATTCAAGATCTTCTGTGAAAGCTCTTTGCCAGCTGAAAGCTGATCTCCCTCGCCCGCGACACATGTTTGCCCAAACTGCGGTTGCCAGTCATTTCTGTGGCAGGAAATACAGATGTTGTTTTGGCATTCCAGAGCCCTAACAGGAGATCGGAGGAGGAGATAAAATTGCAAAATGCTCTGGCAAACACTCGGTTAAAACAAAAAAGCAAAGCAAAGCAAGAAAGAGGAGGTAATTACTAAAACAGCCGTGCAGATATACGCCTGGACCTTCATAAAACAATGGCTTTTAAGATTTCCCCAAGTAGGCAGTTGATGGAATTGCTCATTTTGCAACTCGTGCGTGACATGATCCTGTTCAGCTATCATTGACTGGACTTGCTGGAAGACGTGGACTGTCCAGTGTGTTCTGCCTACACATAGAATCATAAAGTTGGAAGGGGGCTGTAAGGCCATCAAGTCCAATTCCCTGCTCAGTCGAAACCAAAGCGGATCCGACAGATGGCTGTCCAACCTTCTCTTGAATGCCTCCGATGTTGGAACACTAGATCATAGGTTCCATTGTCGTGCTGCTCTAACAGTTAAGGCGTTTTTCCTGATATTCTGCTCAATATTCGCTATATCCTGTAGCCTGAGCCATTAGAAGGGCTCAGAGTTATACCGTGCAAAGGACACCACCTCCAAAATGTGCATGATGCTTTTCTCAGCTGTCTAAGATTGGGAGTTTCGATGCCTCTTGCAGGTACAGCCAGCCTGTGTAGCCTTGGGCAAGCTGCGCAGTCCCAGGGCACCCCACTTGTTCATCTCTCTGGTGGTCCAGAATTTTGCAAATCTCTCCTTCAGCACCACATTTCAAACAAGTCAATTTTTCCCCCGTCATCTTTTTACTGTCCAGCTTCTACGCCCATACACGGTGATCAAGAATACAGGAGTATGGATGATCTTGGTCTCCAGTAACGTACAGTGGTGCCCCACTTGATGATTACCTCGTTAGACAAGGAAATCGCTTGACGACTTGTTTTTTTGCGATCGCTGTTGCGATCGCAGAATGATGATTGGATGGGGTTTTTTCGTTTGATGATGATCGGTTCCCTGCTTCAGGAACCGATTTTTCGCTTTACGATGATCAAAACAGCTGATCATTGGGTTTTCAAAATGGCTCCCCGCTGTGTTTTAGGACAGACTTCTCACATTACAGGCACTGGAAAACGGCTGCCCTATGGAGGATCTTCGCTGGACACTGAGGTATTTCGCCCATTGGAACGCATTAACCAGGTTTTAATGCATTTCAATGGGCTTTTTTATTTCACTTGACAACGATTTGGTTCTACAGCGATTTTGCTGGAACGGATTATCCTCGTCAAGCGAGGCACCACTGTATCTTTACACTTGATGGCCCCCTTTTTGGATGCACAAAGAGATTCCATTACGGACCCGGACTCCTAGGAGGGCTACCCAAGGCAATAACTGAGACACCAGACTAAGAGGCATCGAGCCTCGTCAAAGGCAGCCACTGGGCAGCAGGAATAGCTAATGGTGACATTAGCAAAGGAAGCAATAGTGGTGACACTCAAGCTAACTCTTGTTAGTACTGCGCAGAATACGACAATGGCAACTCCCTGCTGAACATCCCTTACTATAAAAACCCTTTGCATGTAGCGTTTCTTCAAAACAAGCACACTGTCTTCTCCTGTAACTGTCATCATCATAAAATGATGTAAGAAAGCCATTGAACTCAGAGCGGCTCCTTCTTTGTAGCTGCCCCCAAAATGCACTAGCTTCCCTGAGTGCTTAGCAGGTCCCTGCGGTCGTCTTTGACCAGATAAGAAGATAAGAGAGGTCCTTGTTTTGTTCTCGCCTGGAGGTGAGGAATCTTGTGGGACTCAGAAAAATTCCTTGTCAAGGGGTCTCGCCGAGCGTGAAATGAACAAGAATGAAAATTTTTTAAAAAGCCGGAATTCATCACCTCTCTAATCACTAGTATGGGTTTTGTATTCAGATAACCACACTCACTCAGTCAAAGAAGTTCTGTGTCTTTCGATTCCACAGGCAGAAATACTTATTTATTTCAGAGACAGAACTGATATCGGGACTGAAAAAAAGGCTTTGGTGCCAGGCGGTGCTCCATTTAATGGGCTGCCTGATAAGCATCAGTAATAATTTTTAATGCAGAGGTGTTGTGTATGGAGGAAATTACTGTTCCGGGTGGTTGGAAGAAATGCAATTTGTTTTCCAAAATGGAAAAGGGGGCTGGGTGGGTGGGTGGGGGCTAACACACTGTTATGTGCTGCAATATGATGACAAATGAGCCCCAGTTATTCAGCAGGAACAAATAGGGTTTCCTGTTATTGTCGAGAAGTTTATGTAGACGGCTACCTCTGTTATGTCTCCGATCGCATAAATGTGGGGAACTGAAGTGGCTTCTCTTGCATCAACAAGGATCTTTCCCGTCTCCGCGTTTATTTTCACTCCGGCTACCTCCAAATTAAGCGTTCTGGTATCAGGGGCTCGGCCTTGGAAGAAAGAGAGGGGGGTTTGGTTATAAAGAGGCAACAGTGGGATTTGGGAAACCCGAGTAGTCAAAGGAAAAAAAAAAGAGCATCGCTGTTGTTGCATGTCGGGTTCCCTCTGACTTTAGGAACGAGCCCTCTCCAAAATGTCCTGGCCTCAGCAGCCCTGCTCAAATCTTGTTAACCCAAGCTTGTGACTTCCTTGAGGGAGTCGGTCCATCTCGTACAGTGGTGCCTCGCTTTACGATTACCCCACATTACGACGAATCCACTTTACGACGATCTTTTTGCGTTCGCAATTGTGATCGCAAAACGATGGTCTAAATGGGGGAATTTCGCTTTGCAATTATCAGTTCCCTGCTTCGGGAACCGATTCTTCGCAAAACGATGGTTTTTCAACAGCTGATCGGCGGTTTCGAGATGGCTGCCGGGTAAATAAAATGGCTCCCCGCTATGTTTAGGGACGGATACCTTGCTAAACAGGCGATCTTTCAATATTGATTTGGTTTTACTGGTCTTTGACCGTAATAAAGTATACTACTATATGCTGAGACTTCTACCTAGGAATTACACACAGTATGTCGCTCTCTTCAAAGCCAGAAGGCTTTGAGGCTTAGCTAGGCCTAGCTCTACCCAAACTTCCTGTTCCTGCCCCAGTGCAAGCTGGGAACTTTCTTTCTGAACAGGAAGCTAGGGAAAACCAAGCCCACCTAGGCCTTAATCTCTTTTCAGTTTAGGCCTTTTCTCCCAGGCGAGTCACACTTAGGTGTCTTTAAGGTGTGTGAGAGTTAGGTAGAACTCCCAAAATGGGGAATGATAGGATATGTAGTCCAGGAAATAGAAGAATCCCATCTCTGCTCTTTAGAGGAACCTCAACCACTTCTGTATTGCCCAAACCCAGTTAAATCTTGCAAGGTGAGGAACAGAAACAAAATATTCCAAGTGACGAGGGGGGAAAAAATACCTGTGTCACGCTGAGGAACATTTTCACAGAATCATAGAATAATGGAGTTTGGAAAAAGTCTACAAAGCCATCAAGTCCAATCCCTGCTCAATGCAGGAATCTAAATCAAAGTATATCTGGCAAACGTTTGCCTAAGTTTCTCTTGAATGCCTCCAGCGTTGCAGCACTCAGAATGGTAAATGAGTCCATTGTCGCACTGCTCTAACAATTGGGAAGTTTTTACCTGTTATTCAACCAAAATTCTGGCTTTCTGTAGTTTGTGCCCATTATTACGTGTCCAGCACTCTAGGATGATCGAAAACAGACCCTGCCCCTCTTCTTTATGACTAATCAAGTATTTGAAAATTGCTATCCTATTTCCCCTCTGTCTTCTTTTTCAAGGCTAAACCTGGCCCAGTTCTTTTCCGTGTTTCTTTACAGGAATTGGTTTCCAGTCCCTCGATCGTCCTTGTTGCCCTCCTTTCCACCTCTCCCAATTTCTCAGCCTCCTGCTTCAAGTACAGTGTCCAGAATTGGACACAGGACTCAAGAGGAGGCTTAACCAGTGCCGAATAGAGGAGAACTCATACTTCACAGGATTTGGAGATGATATCTCTGTTAATGCAGCCTAAAATAGCATTGGCCTTTTTTGCAGCCACATTGCACCGCCGGCTCATATTCACCTACTCATGTACAACAATTCCTTCTCGCACATCGTATCACGGAGCCAAGTATCCCCCATCTTGTAACTCCCCATTTGCCCTTGGCCTCGGGTGTAGAACTCTGCACTTTATCCTTGTTGAATTTCACTCCGCTGTGTTCAGGCTCGAGCCGATCGAGACGAGAAGCTTTCATACAGAAGATGCCCTTCCGACTTTCAGGAGGTGGCATCTATTTTTGAAGAACATGGAGGGTAAAGGAATAACCCCGCGTTCTCCAGGGAGGGAGGGGAGGGCTGGCTGTTTGATGTGAGCTTTTTTTTTCCCCTTCCGCAAAAAAATGGGAAATGTGTTTGCATTCTAAAAACAAGATTTAAAAAAACAACAACGCACACTTAAGGCCTTTGATGTCGGTGTAGGAAATTATTAAACAAAAGGAAAACCTGCCTTCTCGACGGGGGATCTAATTATAGATAATATATGATTCACCGTATTATCCATCTGCGGTAAGGGGCAGGTTCTCCCCCCCTCCCGTGCCCCCCACCAAAACAATGTCACATCTGAATGCCTGAGCGAGGGACTCTGGCGGATCAGTTTCAGCCGGTGAAACCGACACTTCCTTTGGGACGACCAGCTGGTGAGGTCCCTGCTCAGCTATCTGTCTGTCTTTCCTTCGGCCTTTCCCATGGGGAGGCAGATCCCCTGATCCCATGCTTTGCCCTCTGGTCCCCCCCCTTCTTCTCCCCCGATGCTATCAGACACCAAAAATAATAAACCTCCCAAGACCTTATCTTGGCTCGGATGTGAAACAACTTCCTACCGTTGTATTTCTTTGTGCGTGGAGAATGAAGTCTATAGGGTTGGCAAATGGGCAGTTTCATGGAGAGTGCTTTTTTTTTTTCTCGTTTCCCCCTTTTCCGGACCAGGCAGAAGGAAGAGAAAATGTTAGCACGCGATGTGGCAGAGGCATTGATTTTTATTTTAATGCACTTTTTTTAAAACAAGGGCTCTCTCTTCAACCCCCCACAACATACCAACAGTTTAGGGTGTGTGTGTGTGGTTTGGTTGTTCGATTTTTTAAAAAAAGATATTGTGGTTAAACGACAGCTGAGATGATCAAAACCTGCAAGATGACTTTAAACCTTTGGGTGCCAACCTCGCCATCTGCATCGCCCGCCATTGAGAAGGAAAGAAACCAAGCCGAACATGCTTAAACCGAGCCGACGTGAAACCTCATCCATTCTCCCATGTGTCCCCCGAGTGGGATTCTGAAAGCAGTAACGAGACATTAAAAATCAAGTCAATTGTTTATTGGCTCCCGGCCATGTCAGCTCCGATTTTTGAAAGTAAGAGAATATTCTGTAGACCCACCGTTAAAATCAAAGGGATTAAGCCTTTGGGCTTTGTGAAATTTCTCCAGGACCTTAGAAGGCTCCGATTCCAGGACTCTCAGAGGTAAACACAAATCTAGTCCCAAACAGAGTAGACACATCAAAATCAGTGGTGACCGACATGTCCCATTCAGTGCCATGGATTTGCAGTAATTGAGTCTAACGGGGGCCAAGCTCCTAAACCCTCATAGGTTCTTAACTTTCACACCGGATTCCCCCGCCCCCAAGGTTGAATCCTTTAGGTTGGTATATGGAAGTGAGATACACTGAATACAGTGGACCCTCGACTTACAGACGGCTCAACTTACAGACTTTTCGAGTTACAGACTTCTCTGGCCACAAAATTTAGATTCGACTTGCAGCCGGAGAATCGACCTACAGACCAGAAAAAAACCAAAATGGAACAAAAATAGAATAAAAACTGCCAGTTATGGGATTAATCGGTTTTCAATGCATTGTAGGTCAATGGAGATTCGACCTACAGACTTCTCGACTTGCAGCCACCGTTCCAAAACGGATTAATTCCTTAAGTAGAGGGTCCACTGTATGCACATTGAAAAACCAGAAGCTGCTTTAATGGATTCAACTAGTCCCATAAGAGTTTTCTAGGCTCTTGGGCAGAAATCAATCTTTCCTCTGGAGGCTCAGTTAGTTCCAGAGTGGTGTTGCTTGGTGGCTTCCCATTCATTCAAGTTCACCCCTGCTTTGCTTCTTAAATCAGACCAGACTAGGTTGAGTTTGCTCCCTTGAAGGCCAACATAGAGTAGATAGACTTCTTTGGACACTCTACCGTTGCTTTCATCGATCATTGTTTCTATCATATATCTGTGACCTTTTTATCATACATAGGTTGCTGTGAGGACCCAGAGTTTTTAATCTTTGCTGTTATTAAGATATCTGCTCTGCTCAGCAGAACAAGATGTTAAGAATCTCACATGTTCAACCACACAGACGTACTCATGAGATGAAAAGTCTTCTGTGAACCCTAAATTCATAAAGATGTTCCTGATCATCCCAGAGCGCAGGACACGTAATAATAGGCTCAAGCTATAGGAAGCCAGTTTTAGGTTGAATATCAGAAAAAACGTCTTAACTGTTAGAGCAGTACGACAATGGAACCAATGACCTCGAGAGATGGTGAGTGCTCCAATGCTGGAGGCATTCAAGAGACAATTGGACAAACACCTTTGGTGTTAGGAAAAGAAAGAGTCAAGCAATTTAGGGGAAGCGACACAAGGCAAAGGACCAGGTGCCCAGAGAGAGGCCATAGGTAAAGCGCTCAGTATCTCCACCACGAAAGATCCCTGGAAAAGACCCTGATGTTGGGAAGGTGTGAAGGCAAGAGGAGAAGGGCGAGATGGCTGGACAGGGTCATTGAAGCAACCAATATGAATTTGACCCAACTCTGGGAGGCAGTGGAAGACAGGAGGGCCTGGCGTGCTCTGGTCCGTGGGGTCACGAAGAGTCGGACACGACTGAACGACTAAACAACAACGGAAAGTAGAGAAAGGGCAGTCATATCAAGGCCTGCTGTTAGGCAAAACAAGACAACTGCTTCAGGGCATGGTTCCCTTGTCAGAACTGAAGCGAGATTCAGTTACTAGTCTGGTTGGCTTCCGTGGGCCAAATCAAACCATCCTTAGAAGCTGTCCTGCGCATCTTTGTGCCTGACCAGTCAGACTCATCAATGAAGCCTGTGTCTACCTCTCAGCGGCCAATCACAAAACAAAGCTGGCTAGTATGCAAAGCAGAGGGGAGAGAAAACTCATGCTAGGACAACCCAATGTCTTTCGTCCCTCGAATAATTCTTGCTTCTAAAGATGTGCTCTCTGTACCGGATGATTTGAAATTGAGGGTCAGTTGAGGGAGAGTTATAGTTTTGTCCTTCAGCCGGTCCTGAACCATCTTCCTCTCCCTAAGTCAGTTTTGTAGGTCAAATAATGATGTTTTTTTAAAATCCCAGGTGGGTCACTACATTTTATCTGAAGCAAAACAGATAAAGAGAGATTGAGCGGGATTGGGGGGGGGCAGTGGAGAGAAGAGAGATTCTGCTGTGGCAAAATATCTGTGAGAATCCAAAAAGGATTTCCCTGAGGCTAGGCAGCATTTCTCATAGAAATTTCTCATCTCAATTCCCGGGATGCATTACAAAGTCAGCCGAACGCTGACTTTTAAAACAACATTTTCCTTTCATACGGGAATTCAGCCGAAACTTCATCTTCCTACGGTCGTTTATAATGATCTGTGTACAATTCCAAGTTTTGGCACTGCTTTGAAAAGACCCTAATATGGAGCACAAGATGGTCAAGGTGGATTCTGGGAAACCATTAAAAGTGGCCCAAATGTTATGATATTTTCTGAACACTACAAGCTGCTCCCTTTCAGTCACCATCTGTGACACAGAGAGATGGGAAATCTTCGGCTCAACTTAAAAGTTTCCCACTCTTATTATCACAGACACCTGGTATGGGTATGTTGATACAGAATTATTATTTTTTTCAAAAACCCACCATGAATCACGCAGTGACTGCATGCCAATTAACAAGGTTTAACTGTTCACTGCCTTAGTCCTTAATCCTTTGGGGAACAGGGCGAAAAAGCAGGCATGATGAAAAGGAAAAACGTGCTGGAGATGGGAATTAACGTTTGTTTTGCTAAAAGGGCTGGAATGCAGATGGGTTGCTAACGAGCAGAAATAAAAGAGAGTGTTGCAAAACATCTTCAAGAGTAACTAATTAACTGTGCCATGCATTAGACAAGCCTTCTTTCTTCAAAACAGCACTCTCTGGATGTATAACTCTAACCATCCCCAGCTAAGTGGGGATAATGGTAATTATAGTTACCATCATCCCCAAGAACTCTGCAGGGTGCCAATGTGCAGAAGGCTGGATTGGACCATGAGGATTTCATGGACTAAATCCAACTACTAGTTCAAACTAGAGTAAACCGACTGAGAGTGTTGGATTTACGTATGTGTTGACCTACCATTCAGTCATTGGATCAACTCTAGTTGGGATTGGCAAGGGAATAAAGCATTTCATAACATGGGACTACAGTAGTACCCCTGTATCCACGTGATCAGGATCAATTGTTTCACTTATCCGTGTCTGAAAATATTAATAAAACAAAACTAGAAATATGTTTCACTTATCCGTGGTCTGAAAATATTAATAAAACAAAACAAAACTAGAAATATGTTTTCATGATGTAGTTACCAGCACTGGCGACTAGAGGGAGCCAGAGACTATGCTATATATTCTTCTTGAAGAAGACATCACATGGTCTCTAGCTCCCTCTATTGGCCAGTTTTGGTAAATACATAGTGGAAATCCTTTTTTTTTTCCCTGGATTTTTCTTTTTCTTTTAAGGTTGTTGTAGGTTTTTCGGGCTGTTTGGCCGTGTTCTTAAGGTTTTTCTTCCTAACGTTTTGCCGGTCTCTGTGGCCGGCATCTTCAGAGGACAGGAGTCAGAACTATGTCTGTGCAGTTTGTGGGGTAGTTGAGTATTTATAGCTGTGGGGTCAGCTTTTTGTCCTTTTTCTCTTTTACTTATGCATACCTACAGTTTGTATACTGCTTGCTATTATCCACAATTTTCAGCATCCACCGGGGGGGGGGGTTGGAACCAATCCCTGCAGGTATGTGGGTCCTACTGCTGAGAAATAGTTTCTACAGTAAATCGGCTAGTTTTTAATGTTTTAACAGGGTATTTGTTGGGTTTGTTGGGAAGAGGCTAGCAGGACTTATGTCCTGGAACAGGGCTGTTTACAGTTCTCTTCATGGAGTGCTGTTTCTCACTGGCCATAATAGATTAATAACGTAAGGAGCCATGTCACAGTTATCCTGACTACATCTCTCAATTAGGTTTACAGGTAGACACCACCACCCTGATCTATGTTTGAAAAACACTTCCTTAAGTAGAGTTGCTAGTTAGGCCACACAGGCAAAACTATTACAGTGGTGCCTCAAAAGACAAATGCCTCGCAGGACAAAAAGCTCGCAAGACAAATGGTTTTTGGCAATTGGGGGTTGATGACTCGCAAGACAAATGTTCCTATGGCCGCGCTTCACAAGACGAATGTTTTCCGTTTTTCGTTCCTGTCTCATGTTTGCTGATTTTTAAATGTTTTTCTATGATGTTTAAAAAGTTAAAGTTTTTTTACTGAAATTTTTAAAATCATCTACACAATATGTATGGCTTTAAAGAGCACTTAATAAACCCCTTGTAAACCAAATCTGACTTTGTTCTGACTTTTTTTGCCCATTAATTAGATTTCAATGCATTCCTATGGGAAAACGCATTTCGCAAGACAAATTTTTCGCAAGACAACATTAACTGCAGAACGAATTAAATTCATCTTGCGAGGCACCACTGTATATGGTAGAGAAAGACAAGACTCCGCAGAGCAAAGGGCAGTAAATCAGTGCAGAACATTTGCTTTGGAAACCAAAAAGAGGGTCCTCGATTCAGCCCCCAACCATCAAATGACACTTTAAAGGAAATATGCCTATTTTCTGCAATTGCATTCTCTCTGACCACACAATTCCTTCTAAAGCCAATCAGACTTGCAAATCCCATATTTTCCATGTATAAGACTATACTTTTGTTTAAAATCTTTAGACTAAAAATTGAGGGTCGTCTTATACACGAAAGTAAGCTGAGGTGAGAACAAAAACAAGTGGAGGGGAAAGCAGGGATCAAAGCGATTCTGCAGCGCTTTGATCCCTTTCCGCCTACACTTACTAAGCCCCACTTATATTTCTTAATTTTGGATTAGAAAAGTGGGGGCATCTTATACATGGAGGTGTCTTATACATGGAAAAATACGGTAGGTTCCATGCTTACCTTTTGTTAACCAATCACAACACAGGAACAAAGTCATTTGCTAGACAGGAAAAGGCAATCTTTTGCACTTCAGGGACCTTCGACTTGTCAACTCTTACTATCTAGTTTGGGCCCAAGTAGGGAAAGCAACTGGTTTCGACTGAACAACAATCTCACAATGCAAGACAGCTTACTAGGTAACCCCACTGAATCTTGATGTGCCCCTAATGCTTGCTCTAGGGCAGTGGTTCCCAACTTTGGGTCCCCGTATGTTCTTGGATTAAGACTCTCAGAAATTCTGGCTGGCACAGCTTGTGGTTAAGGCCTCTGGGAGTTTTGCTCCAAGAACATCTGGGAACCAAAAGCTGGAACCACTGATTTAGGACAGGTTTCTCCATAGGCATCGCACTAAGGAAAACAGGCTTTTCTCTCACTGGTTGGCTCTTTATATCCATACCTGCAAAGTATGCTATACAGTGATTACCCCTCCACTGTTACCTTTCTTTCCATACCTGCCATTCCAGACTTGGGCTTGTATGAAGCCAAGGACACCTGGAGCCTTCCAAGATATGGCTTCTGAATCATGGGTTGGGCTTGGAATCGTTCCAGACGTTTCAGGCAAATCAGATAAGGAGTTTGGGAAACGGATAGATGTTGATGCCGAAGCACCTCATCTACATCATGAACCATTTCTCAACTTTCGACATTCATCAGAACTGTCAAGCGAGGAGGCTGACAAGCAGATGGCAAGATCCTTTCCCATTTAGATTCATTGTTTTATCTATCCTGGAATTTCCTTTCCCCCCTGGCCCATTTCTGGCAAGAAGCTCTGAGAGGTGAATGAAACGCGGAAGTAAACCAAAATGCAATTTCTAACACCTCGGAGAGCCACCGTAGAATAGTAGAGAGGGGTGTCGGATAAGATTTGGGAGATCTGGGTTCAAATCCCTGCACTCAAACCCACTAAGGGATGGCGATAGTAAGCCACTTCCCAAAATACCTCCGAAACCCATCGGAGTTGCTATAAGTTAGAAGTGATTTAACAAGACATTACAATAAAGCATAGGGCAGATTTTGCTGGGACCTGGGAGAACTGCAAAATACAGTGGTGCCTCGCTTGACGACGTTAATTCATTCCAGTGAAATCGCTGTAGAGTGAAAATGTCATCAAATGAAATTTAAAAACCAATTGAAACGCATTGAAAACCCTTCAATGCGGTCCAATGGGCTGAAAACTCACAGACCAGCGAAGATCCTCCATACAACGGCCATTTTTTGTGCCTGTAAAGCGAGGAATCCATCCTAGAAAACAACTGTTTGCTGATAGTCACAAAGCGAAAAATTGGTTCCCGAAGCAGGAAACCGATCGTTGCTAAGTGAAAAAACCCCATCCAAACATCGTTGTGAAGCAGATTCGTCATTATACGGGGTAATCGTTAAGTGGGGCACGACTGTATATAGCTCCCATCTCTAACGGTCCAAGAGGAAATTAACCTAACTTCTCTTAAAGTTAATCCCAACTTCTCTTGAAATCAAGGTGCTACAAACAGGGAAGGTCCTGTCTGGTGTTCTTATGCACCAGATCTCTTTTGGTGGCAAGAGAGAAAACGGGGCTGCTGAAGATTATTGAAACGAAAAGCACGTGTATACAGATTTGCAGGTCAACCGAGAGAGGCAGCTTGGACAGGATAGTGGATTGACCCTCAAGAGACGTGGGTTGAAAATTCCCCACTTGAAGCAGAGAATCAGCAACTTGGCCACATCACTGAAAAGCACAGGCCGACGGAATCCGTGGAACTTTCATTTGGCCCACCCTGGGGGCTGTTTGTCTGGAAAAATCAAAGGCCAAATCTTCCCAAGTTTGTCTGAACAGATGCTGACCAAGGAGACAAACAGACAGACAGACAGACAAGGCAAGAAAGCTGCATGGTTTGGTCAAAAACATCACACTGGAAGGGAAAAGGTATAAATCCTGTATCCTTCCTACTGTTTTTGATCCAAATGGTTCTTTCCTTCAGGAAACCACAGCCGTCCAGCAACGAAAGTACAAGAGTTGAACCGTCCAGATATCAAGAAGTGTCAGAGGTATTCTACAGCTATTTTTTTGTTTTTACCTACTGCCCACATTACGGTGTCAAATTCATCAGATTTTTCTTTGCCGGAATCAGCGTATTTCCACGTCACCCTCAATCTGCCGTTGTCCGTCTTCTTCACCTTCATTGGGCTGCATTTCTTAAGAAATCTTGTCCCATAGGTTTCCATGTAATCTGTTACGAGGTTAGCCATTTGCTAGGAAAAGCAGCAAGGTTAAAAAATAAAGAGGAATGAGAATGCTCAGAAAGCTTGATTTCAGTCATAATATCCTTGTACAATTCTGTGCAGACCATCTCACGCACCCAAAAACATGTTTACTAAATATTTCTTCCATGCATCTAAAATACGCTCATCTGTTATACATTTATTGCACTTTTATTGGGCCAGAAATTTTTCACAACAACCTAATGAAATATAGTAGGACCGTAGTATTCACAGGGGATCAGTTGCAAGCCCCCCCCTGTGAATACCGAAAATTCGTGAAAATAGCGAATGCTATTGACAACATGGTCTCTGGTTCCCTCTAATGGCCACTTCCGGTAACTCTCTTCCCTATGTGTATGTGGGAAAGTTCTGGCTACCTAGGCAACATCACCCTCCTAAATGGGGAAATGGAAGGAACAATTATGACCATTGGGAGTCCAGTCAACTATCTAGATCAGTGGTTCTCAACCTTGGGTAACCCAGATGTTCTTAGACTGCAATTCCCAGAAACCCCTGCCAGCACAGCTATTGGTGAAGACTTCTGGGAGTTGCAGTCCAAGAACCCCTGGCTGGGAGCCACTGATCTGGATAGTCAATATAAACTATTAGTGTAAAATCTAACTGGAGAAAACTGCAGGTGGAAGGATAACTATACCACGGTGTTTCCACTCCGTGGCCTCATCTTTGCATGACCAGCCATGTGCCCAATGTCGCAACCAGAACACGAGGAGGTGTGCCAGGGGAGGAGAGAAACTTACACAATTGTGTTTGCATTACTCTGTAGATAACAGGATTCTAGTTCTTGACTAGCAATGGATTTCTAAGTGTTGAAACTCCAGGCATGGATGTCCGAGAACGCAGGGATGTGAAGGAGCTGGTGGTGGAAGGACTAAGGGGTAGAACTTGGAGAATTTCAGCCCTGGGGCCAGACAAAATTGCATTGAAAACCAGCTCAAGTGTTTATGGCTCACAACTCAGAGGGTTCAATTCTATTATTACACTAGGATCCCCTTATCCACAAGATCAGGATCCGCTGATTCAATTATTCACAGTCTGAAAATATTAAAAGAAAAATCTCCAAAATATATACAGTATCTTTAACAATGAAGTTACCAGAACTGGCCACTAGAAGGAGCCAGAAACCATGCTATGTCTATCGTTTGCTAGAGAAAACAGATTTCCACGATGTCATTACCAGATCTGGCCATGAGAGGGAACCAGAGACCATGCTATGAATAGCATATATGATAATAGCATTTGCTGTCATTCATGTTTTTTCAGCATCCATCGTCAAGCTTGGAACCAAGCCCCTGCAAGATCGAGGGGTCCTACTGTATCCATAGTTAACACTTGCCCATAGAAATTTCCGTATTTTTCTGTGTATAAGACTATGCTTTTGTCTAAAATCTTTAGAATAAAAATTGAGGGCCGTCTTATACACTGAAGTAAGATGGGGAGAGAACAAAAACAAGTGGAGGGGAAAGCAGGGATCAAAGCGATCCTGCAGCGCTTTGATCCCTGTTTTCCCCCTGCACTTGCTGAGCCCCATTTAGATGTCTTAATTTTGGGTTAGAAAAGTGGGGGGCGTCTTATACGTGGAAAAATACAGTAATCATAATGGTGGGTGGTAAGGATTCTTATGCCAGGACACTGCCCTGTGCTGGCTGCATTAAGTAAGGGATTGGGCACAAGCTGGATGCCTTGGGCCCAAAACATACCCTATCGGGAAAAAGTGGGCTATCCGATCCCCCTGGCACAGGGTTGGGCATCCAATGGCCCTTCAGATTTTGGATAGCAACTCCCAGCAGCCCTTAATCAGCACAGGCAACAACAATTAAGGCTGGGAGGAGCTGGAAGGCTGTCAGTTGCCAACCCCTGGCAGCTTCTCCTTCTTCCCCCTCCCCCTATGCCCAGGTAGGATTCCTTGTCACAGGTAGGATTCCTCATCAAGGCAGATGACACAGTCAAGGATCTGAATGAGACACCGCCTTGTGTCAAAGATCCCACTGAATGTCTGAGACCATGCCACGCCGCTGCCAAGCCATCCACACCCTGCCGCCACCGCTAAAGAGCTTGTTCAAAAGCGGCCGATGGTACTAATCCGACCTTCCGACATGAAAGCCAGGAACCGGGAGTTGTATAAACTAGAGATCATGAGACAACGCCCACAGAGAAGGTTTATGGAGTATTTACGGAGTGGTTTTGCCAATTCCACTCTCCCAGTCAGTTTCCATGGCCGAGCAGGGATTTGAACCCTGTTCTCCAGAGTCCCAGCCCATTGCTCTACCCGCTACACCACACAGGGAACCCACTAGTGACCCAAAACAACCTTGTTCTATGCAGGGACGTCTCACAAACTGAAGGCAGCAAAATCCAGCCCAGAATGAGCTGCCGTCAAAGATAATAAGGCGATCTGGAGGGAAAAGCCAAGCATATCAAAAGCGGGTGGGGAAAAAATGGCAGACGCTACCTGGTCAAACCCCCGCAAGGGAATGCTTCTCATCATTACAGTGGTGTCCAATCCGAGGCCCGTGAGAAAGCCGGCGCACTCGAGGGAAACATCTGGAGAAGGTCCGGTTCAAGGAAAAAAAATAGTCCAGCTTGGTTTTAAAGAGTGTGAGTTTAAAAACAAAATGAAGGGGAACAACAAGCACAAGATATTGGAGACCGCCATTTTCTACACAGTTTTCTCCTGTGATTTTAGGGGAGTTTTTACTCACATGTAGCTCACAGCTCCTGAATCTTACCTTTCGGCACGATGTGCAAATACCATGCCAGTGTGGAACAGTAGCTAGAACATCAGACTTTACAAGGGGGAAGCTGGATTCAGCCCTTCACTCTTTTGAATCATCATTTTGCGATTGCAAAATGATGATTCAAAGGGTTTTTTCACTTTATAACGATTGGTTCTCTGCTTTGGGAACCGATTTTTCACTAAACGACGATTCAAAACAGCTGATTGGCGGGTCACAAAATGGCTCCCTGCTGTGTTCAGGACAGATTCTTCGCAAGACAGGCATTGCAAAATGGCTGCCCTATGGAGGATCTTTGCTGGCAGTGAGGTATTTCCCCCATTGGAATGCACTGACTGGTTTTCAATGCATTTCAATGGATTTTTTTCTTTTTTTGCTTGCCAACAATTTTGCTCTACAGCGATTTTGCTGGAACGGATTATCGTCGTCAAGCGGGGCACCACTGTAACATGGCAGATTTTTTATCCATTTATATATGGTGCCAAAAAAACAAAAACAAACAGTGGTTGGTTGGTTAATACATTGTAAGTTGTGTGAGCCAACGAGCTATTTTGCACTGGGTTGTGACTTCTGTTTGATATTCGTATCTTTTCCATGAAGATTTGTACTGCAGGATGCGACAATAGCAGATGTTGGCATAGAATGACAATAGCAAAAAACAATATGATTATTATTTATACATGGCCAAAACTAAGGAGACTAGCATTTTACAGCCGGTAATATCCTGTTTGATGTTTTGTTCCTTTCTAAGAGGTTTTATAAACAACACCATCCACGTAGACAGCAATAGGATTTTACTGAAAAACTGAATTCTTGTCCTTTTCCTAGATAAGGCTTAGTCCATCATTTTGAGAACCACTGATCCTTGAAAAGAGACAGCTAGAATTTCTGGACAATCCAATTTTAGACTGCAGGGATTGCACCGTTTTGCTAAATATAGAAAAAAAATGGCATGAATTCCATGCTATTGAAGAATTATTTAGCAACAAGGGGAAAGGCAGGGAAGAAGCCCACAGAGCAAGTCCACTGATTATAGAGTTGTCTGTCTCCAAATGCATTTTAATCACATTTTTCACCAACAGGTGTTAAACAACGGCATTCAGAAGTTCCGAGCCTTTGCAGGTAAATACGTCAAGCATGCCAATAAATCATTCGAATTTTTACAAAAGATACAACTGGCTCCCACAACCAACCTGTTTAAAAAAAAACAGAGAGAGAGAGCGGGAAAACCCTGGAATGAGATTGTGTATATTGTTGTAACCAGAACAAATTGTTTGCTAGAATGGTGTGGGATGGCTACGAGTAAATTAGAATATACAGGCATCGTAGAACGTGTCTCAGGTTTCAAAGAGTAAGATAATGGAGGGAGAATGTACCGTTCCTTTAAAAACAAATATATACACAGAGCATAACAACTGACAAACAATTATACAAAATGAAATTACACAACATGTGTCCCTCAGGCACATAAATACCTCTAAAATAGTCATTTAAAAGCAGATAAGCCTTAATCTTAAATGCATGCACCAAGGAGCAAACTGTATCGAACATAAGGAGACTTGCTTCCGAGAAAATCGCGACTATGGTTGCATGTCCAGCTTCTTGGCTCGGAATTTGAGATATGAAAAGCAAATTCAATGCCCTTCACTCCAAACCGGGCTGACCCAAGGCATTTTGCTGCCTGAGGCAAATAGGTACTGCACTGCCTCCATGCAGAAGGAATTCAGAACGGAATTTGAGATATGAAAAGCAAATTCAACGCCCTTCACTCCAAACTGGGCTGACCCAAGGAATTTTGCTGCCTGAGGCAAATAGGAACTGCACTGCCCCCATGTGGAAGGAATTCAGAGTACTGTAGCAGTTGAATCTTTTCTCTTTCAATCCCTCACTAAGATTTCCCACATCGGCTGATGCCTCGCTCTGCCTACGTGCATTTATTTATTCTTTATTTATTTCAAACATTATTAACCCCACATTTTTCCTAGGAAAGGACCCAAGGTGACGTACACCAAATAAACACAAGATTTAAAGCTAAAAACAGTGAATTATTCAAAGATCAAGTGAACGAATAACATTAAAGTAAGCATGTTAGGTAAAAGCATTCCTAAAAGGGATTTAGAAGCAACAAAATGCAAACTGTCTCATTTTGAGACAGTCTGTGTCTAAGGGAAAGCGTCCCTGAAGAAAAAAGTCTTTGCCAGCTTGCAAAGAAGAAAAAGGTCTTTGCCTGCTTGCAAAACAGCGAAGATGGCGCCAGCTTGGCCTCCAGTGGGGGGGAGTTCCAGAGGTTATGGTAGGACAGGCCCTGAATCCAAAACTAATTCTATAATCGTATCGTTCATTCAATTTCTTGGCGGATTTTTATTTAAAAAAATAATAACCGGGGAGAATTCAAGGCAAATTGCTTTATATGCATGTATTTCTATCTTGCCCTGTGTACCAATCCAGAATAGTTTTCAGCGGTTTAAAGTACGATTTAAAATATATGAAAATATAACAATGAAAATACCTTTACAAACAAAGAAACGCAAAGACGAGGACGTGATCTTCCCATAAAACAGGCGGTGCTTATCAGGGAAAAGCCTGCTGGAATAAAATTGTCCTGACCGGCCAGGAAAACAATGGCATGAAAGATGGGAAGAGTCAAATAGAGAAAACTCCTTCTCAAAACAAAGATCGTGTGGTTTGAAAAACTACCTTAAGAGGAGGAAACGGGGGTGGGCATAGTTCTCAAATACAATGAAATGACTTAATAGGGATAATTTGCGGAGTGAATATTCCGATTTTTAAATGCAGAGAGGCATGAAAAGCATGCACAAATATTATATATTAAAATGATGACTTATTAGCAAGGCAAACTTAAGATGTGGGTGGCCCAGTTCACTGGCCGTTTCCAAAGGATTTCGTGACACTACAGTGGATAATAATACCAATGTCATTACTAATCCTTTGAGGTACTAATAATATAATTCCGTCTTTATTTTTCTTTTCTTTTCTTTTTAAAGCAGCCTCTTCAAACGATGCCTGTGGCATCCATCATCTGCCCGGCTTGTCGTCATTTTCTGCATTACTATATGTTATTCCTCTGTTGTTTCCTTTAATCCTATTGATGTTTACAGAACGAAGCTTCAAAGGAATTGAGCCCTGAACAGTCTCTTTATCATAGATCCCCGCATAAATGTTTTACCATGTAGTCTCTGTATTCTGACTCTTATGTCTGATGGAGTAGACATTTCCCACAAAAGCTTACATTATAATATAGCAGTTCAGCTTTAAGGTGCCACAATGGCTTTTGTTTTGTATTGTGTTTCTTGTTGAAATATTCCATAACCAGAGAGATCCTTGGGAAGAAATCTGAGTGAATATGACTTTAATGACATTTGTTCCTTCAATCCTTTCAACCCTTTTGCTCGAAGAAGAAGGAGAAGAAGAGTTGTTGGTTCCACAACCACATTCTTTCCATATTTGGCAGTCACCTATGTGTGTCTAGGGATTGTTTCAAGAGGTGTAAATTAGCTCACACTTCTGTGATTGGAGGATTCAGGTGCTTTAGCTATAAATGATCTCCATATGGTTTGGAAATAACCAGTTTTCTGTTTCTGCTGTGCTGTGAACATCTGATAGGTCAGTTGCTTCATTTTATCGAAATGGTACAGCATTGAGAGTGGCTTTGATTATTTCCACAGTCTTTAAAATTTTAATTTCGCTGTGGCTAGTAGGCTGGTCATTGCATTGTAGTGCAGTCCTCACATGAAAGTGGCTCTTAGACAGTTCAGTAACAGGACCCTGAGCTGCTTTGGAAATTCATGGTCCATGATATATTTTTTCTTATTGTAACCTCCCATGCCAGAACTCCATAAACTGTTATTCCATTAGAATGTAGGCTAACTCTGAAATAATTCAGTGGCAGCAGCATACAAGGCTAGGGGCAAGGAAGTGACACAGTCCCATAAAGCCAAGCCCCATTTGCTCAAAGGACAACCTAGGCTAGCCATAGTAGTAACACTGCCTGTCACATAGCAACATTCCTAATGATCTGAGGCCTGTTCAGTTAGGACCCCAGACTTCGATAGTTCAGACAGGAGGGGAGGATTGGCCTAAGAAAATTCATATTAACCTTAGTCATCAAGTGGGGTTGTTATTATTTCAATGTAGGTAAAGGTAGAGGTTCCTCTTGACATTTAGTCTAGTCATGTCTGACTCTAGATTCAATGGGCTTTTTGTTTCGCTTGACGAGGATTTCGCTTAACAGCGATTTCAACGGAACGAATTATCCTCGTCAAGCAAGGCACCACTGTATTATATTAATCAGCCCGTGTGTGCATGTACAGAAGTGGCCAACAAATCAGAAAGTTAAGAGCAAAATATTTTCACTTCTGCTTTCCCCTGAATTTGAAAAACACTGAATCAAAGCACACAGACATATATAGCAATGTGTAGCTTATATACCTATATATACATATGCCAACGTGCATGTTATAAATGCGTATCTATCTATACAGATATGGGTTTGACTATTTTATTATGCACATCATAAATTTACAGGAGTTTTGTATTTTGTATATTTGGATTTTTTTAAAAAGGAGAAACTGAAAGGTGGCTCCTTGTTCTTGAATTTGTCAAACTGCCTTTAAAAGCGGGAGACAATTTGTCATACCTTGTTGTCCGAAAACTCCTTAAAGCTAATGATGCCCAGCATGACTTTTTTAGGGCTTTTTATTGCCTGCCTCGACACACTCTATAGCCGAGGCAGATGGTTGGTAAGGTTAATCACAGAGGCAAAAAGGTTTGGTAAGCAGCAAACGCTGAACGATGAATTTTTTTTTTTTTAATCATGGGAACATTTATTAGGGAAATCCATTTGACAGAAACAAATGTAGCTGAAGGGGTGCTTTTGGGTCTCCCCTCCCTCTCCGGCGACATCGGCTGATAAAATACAGCAGCGCTACTGTGGTCCCTCCAGGGCTTATTTTGACTAAGGCTTAGGAATGTAACGTATAAACATGAGACTCCTACATTACACTGTTAAAACTTGCACTAACAGTGCCCGGACAAAAGCTACGTTTTTCAGAGAAATATCTCAAGAGGGATAAATCTTCTGTTTAGTGTGTTGTTTTTTAACACACACGGGCCCACACTTTCCTTGCATAAATCAGACCCTCGGCATTTGAAAGGTAACGGATCGAGGGCGAGAAACTGCTGACGGACTTTGCTTTTTAAAAAACGTACCCAAGGACCACCCTCTGTTTACCCACCTAGGTTTAAATGGCCCGAATTCAAATTATTTTTTGGTCCTGAATTGGGGTGTGTGTGGTTTGAAACCTGAATGCGGAATGGCACCCAGTTTATCTATTCCCTCGTTGGTTTTAACGTGTTACTTCTGATGGACAATATGAAGGAGTTTTTTCTCCCCCCTTCAAACGTGTGAATAGCTTTTCCACAACGTTAGGTCTCCAAAATTATCATGATCAATGCTGGCATGATCAGCACCATCTCAATTTATTTCACTATCCAAGGCAAAGAGGCTTCTATTACATAGAGAGAGGGGGAGTGTATGTGCCACAGATAATAGGCAGGGTCCAAATGTAAGACCCCAGAAGCTGGATACAGCCCCCCCCCAAATTTTGTGAGGTGCTGGCTCAGCAAAGTCCCCTTTTCCCTCCAGATGTCGGGGGGGCAATTTGGGAAGGAGAGCTACAAACTACACAACCCGTTGCAACAACTACAGTGGTGCCTCGCTAGACAGTTACCCCGCATGATAGTTTTTTCGCTAGGCATTGACTTTTTGCGATCGCTATAGCGATTCGCAAAACAGTGATTCCTATGGGGAAATTTCGCTGGACAATGTTTGGTCCCTGCTTCACAAACCGATTTTCGCTAGACAACGATTTTGACAGCTCCCTCCACGCTCGCAAAACGGGTGTTTTCGGGACCCAAGCTTTGCAAGACAACGATTTAAACAGCTGATCGGTGGTTTGCAAAGCGGCATTCCTATGGCCGATCTTCGCTAGACAACGACGATTCTTCCCCATTGAAACGCATTAAACAAGTTTCAATACATTCCAATGGGGAAATGCTTTTCGCTAGACAATGATTTCGCTAAACAGCGATTTCAGTGGAACGGATTATCATCGTCTAGCGAGGCACCACTGTACTGGCTACCTGAGTGCATTTTTTAGATGGATTGTTGCGCATTACTGTTGTGTTTTTAGCACTACCCACATTGCCCTTTTTTTTGTTCCATTTAAATATTTGTATACTTATTGTTCTTCGCTTTAAATATGGACTTTTAACGATGTAAGCCAATATGGTATCCTCATGGTTTTCTGCTTTAAGCCACCTCGGGTCCTTTTAAAGAAAAGTAGGGTAAAAATATTGTAAATAAATAAAAAGCTGGGGTTGGGGAGCAGCAGACCCCCGCACCACTGTACTGGCTACCTGAGTGCAGTTTTTAGATGGATTGTTCCGCATTACTGTTGTGTTTTTAGCACTACCCGCGTTGCCCATTTTTTTTTGTTCCTTTTAAATATTTGTATGCTTATTGTTCTTCGCTTTAAATACGGACTTTTAATGATATAAGCCACCATGGTATACTCATGGTTTTCTGCTTTAAGCCGCCTCGGGTCCTTTTAAAGAAAAGTAGGGTAAAAATATTGTAAATAAAAAGCTGGGGTATAATTCTTAACCTCTCCCCCCAAAAAACATAACTACAAAGCATAAACAGTTGATTCGCACATATACACATACAGAACAATTCCCTCTGTTGGGGTTGTCTTCTACAGTGTTGACAATACTTTCCATACCGTACTGTGTGTAATGAGCCTTAAAGGTCTTTACGACCCCCTGATCTAGAGGCTGAATTAGAGATCTCATGATTAGGGTAAAGGAGACGACTTTGACGCCAATGGTGTTCCACTTATAGGGTTTTGGATGCACGCTATTTCTTGAATATTTATTTCTTGAATGTTTCTTTATTTATCGGAATATCTATTAGAATATCTATCTACCCCGTTTCCCCGAAAATAAGACCTAACCTGCAAATAAGCCCTAGTGTGATCTTTCAGGATGCTCGTAATATAAGCCCTACCCCCAAAAATAAGCCCTAGTTAAGTCAAATCCCTCCCTCCACCATTGCGCAGCAACCAGAAGAAGATGACATGACTGTATTTGAATAAATGTAGATGGTTATACATGGAAAAAATAATAGTGTAATGAGCCTTAAAGGTCTTTACGACCTGCTGATCTGGAGTCTGAATTAGAGACGTCAGTGATTGGGGTAAAGGAGTCCACTTTGGCGCCTTTGGTGTTCCACTCATGGGGTTTTGGGTGCGCACTGTTTCTTGAATATTTATTTCTTTAAAGTTTCTTTATTTATCGGAATATCTATTGGAATATCTATCTACCCCGTTTCCCCGAAAATAAGACCTAACCTGCAAATAAGCCCTAGTGTGATCTTTCAGGATGCTCGTAATATAAGCCCTACCCCAAAAATAAGCCCTAGTTAAGTCAAATCCCTCCCTCCACCATTGCGCAGCAACCAGAAGAAGATGACATGACTGTATTTGAATAAATGTAGATGGTTGTACCTGAAAAAAATTAATAAAATATCCCCTGAAAATAAGCCCATTTTAGGAGTAAAAATTAATATGAGACCCTGTCTTATTTTCGGGGAAACACGGTATCTTATCTCCAGCTGGATGGTTGGATAATCCTGGCCATTGGGTCAGCATGCCAAGGATAATGGGCACTGGAGTCCAGCAACTGCTGGTTCACCACTCTGGTGCCTACACCTGTCCCTTCTTTTCCCACAATGGAACTCAACACAGCGTCCCATCTCAGACACAAAATGGCTCAGCTTCAGCTAAAGCTGCTGTTTGGGGTCCCTTAAGACCACGCAATATTCGGAGGGCATTAAGTTTAAATCAGGAACCCTGCTTGTTTTCACGAAGCTTTAACAATGCAAAAGGCGATATATTTCATGGAACCAGATTCTTGCTGTTTTCCCCAGCGTCTTGCAGGGCAGACCGACCTGATGACCACAGCGTTGCTGCCTTTGAAACGCTTTTTGCCCTGCCCCAAGACAAATGTCAATGAATCAAGCACCGTCTCTCCCCTGCTCTATGAAAGAGGAGAATCTTGGATTCGGCAGAGAAATAAAAAATATATCCTAAGCACTTGCTGCCCTCTTGTGGCACAAGAGAAGTGCAAATTAGTAAAACGGGGGAAAAGAAAAAATTGCTTTAGAAATCCACACCCAACAACTTAGGAAATGAACTTGCATAGTTTCACACTTAAAAAATGAGAATTTATAATCTAGAAGTTGCCTTTCAAAATATACAGGAACTGAATGTACATTCATAGGCATAATACAAATATTAAAGTATAATCTGCAGCTTTTAAAGGGTGCAGTGAAAATCCATTATAAAATGAATCCTGTCATGCTGCTGGGAATCACTTTATGGTTTTTTTTTTAAAAAATGACTCTTGACTCCCAGTACCCCTCATTTCCATTCAGGTTGGCAGGGGCAGATGGGCATCGGAGTACAACAGTATCTGGAGGACTCGAGAGACCATGCTCTTTGGTAGATCTCTCGTGAAAATTAAGTTGCATTTAGCTCATTGCTCCTTCCTCCCAAGTAAACAGGCATAGGGTGGTAGCCAAAAGTGAGAAAAATTCACAGAAAGGAAAAGACAAGGAGAGACAGAGAATTCTTCTTAAAAATAGAAAAGTTGGGTTCCTGTCTGCACGCAATGATTGAAATTCTGGAATATACTAGCTAGAATTCTACTGGTGTTTGCATGAGGTTTGCGTAACTTCCTGAGGCTCATTGACAAGACATTGGGCCATGTCCTAGTTGCACGCACAACTGCACAACTGAGTGCGCCCAACTGCACAACTGAGAGGTGTCCAGGCAGCTCAACAATTAGCTGCAGTAAGTCCCATAGTTTTCCATATATAAGACTTTTTTTTAAGGTTCCCCTTGACAATTTTTGTCTAGTCGTATACAGTACTTTTGTCTAAAACCTTTAGAGTAAAAATTGAGGGTCGTCTTATACACAGAAGTAAGCTGAGGAGAGAACAAACACAAGTGGAGGGGAAAGCAGGGATCAAAGCGATCCTGCAGTGCGTTGATCCCTTTCCCCCTACACTTGCTAAGCCCCACTTAGATTTCTTAATTTGGGCTTAGAAAAGTGGGGGGCGTCTTATACATGGGAGCATCTTATACACAGAAAAATACGGGTAAGTTATGCAAACCTTACGCGGGCACCCAAAAAACCACCAGCCATTCAATAGCCATCCAGAAACTTACGTCTTTCTGGGAGATTTTTTCAGCCAGAAAAGGTCATCGCTTGTAATCCCGTACTCCCGGGCTCCTGGAATCTTTTTTTAAAAAAAGGGAAAGCAGCTGATATGAAAGCAATTATTAAGTGATTATTAAGCAGTTTCCCTTCTGAAAATCGTATGTGAAGAATTAATGTGATCTTACAGTGGCTTTTTGTCCTTCTGCAAGATGATTTATCATATCTATTAGCCCTGTTGTAATTGATTCTTTAGGTTATATGTAATAAATTAAATTTAAAGCAAGATTTAAGACACCACTGTAGTATAACTACTCACTAAAAATGCACATTTTAATGCTCACATTATATGTCTCAAAGAGATCATAGGTTAAGGGGGAGAATAAGATGAACGATCAGTCAAGTCATTTCTTTCCCTCAAGCTGCACAAATCATTTGTGGGAATCAAATCAGGGCCAACCTTAAAGCCCAGGAAGTGTTGCCCGGAAGAAGATGGTCTTTCATACAGATTGGTTCCTGCTTTAGCACTGTAGTTTATCATTGCAATTAAACTCATGCAACTTACATGTGCAGGGTAGTTAGGTCTTCCACCAGTGGCGAGGACAATGTTTTCCGCTCTGAGCAGAATCTAGGAGTAAAAGAGAAAAGAATCAGGAACTTTAGCCGAACTTGGCAATGCCTTGTTGCTATTCTGTCTGTACTGACTTATAGCGACCCTGTGATTGAGCAATTTCAAGATTTGTCCTCAATAAGGTTGCTCGTGGTCACGTGGCCAGCGCGACTAGACACGGAATGCCGTTACCTTCCCACCGTGGTGGTACCTATTTATCTACTCGCATTTATATGCTTTTGAACTGCTAGGTTGGCAGGAGCTGGGACAAGCGACGGGAGCTCCCTCCGTCGCGTGGATTCGATCTTACGACGGCTGGTCTTCTGACCTTGCAGCACAGAGGCTTCTGTGGTTTAACCCGCAACGCCACCACATCCCTACTTAGTGCATAAAGCCTATGCTTTTTAGAGGTGTGTAGATTTGAGTTTTTGGACAGCAGCTCTCTAAGGAATTCTGTCATCAGAAGTCCAAAAACTCAGATTTGTACATCTCTATAGGCTTTACATATAGGAGGTCTTCTGTTCAGTCCCTAGTACCCTGTCAAACCTACAGTTCAATGCATTCCTATGGGGGGGGGGAAATTCACCAAAAATTAACGAAGAGTCAGAACAAAGCCAAATTAAATTTGCAAAGGTTTTACAAGGTGCACTAACGATCCCAAGCATTTAAAACAGTTTTTGAACATTTTAAGACACACTTAAAATAGCGAAAACGGACATCGCTAAGCGAAACAGGGGGACCTAAACTGTCATTGCTAAGCGAGGCAAGGTCCTGAACATCGCTATGCGAAATTTCCCCATAGGAAACATCGCTAAACGGAGCGCAAAATCACTCCAAAAACCTCATCGCTAAGTGAATACATCGTTAAACGAGGCAATCGCTAAGCGAGGCACCACTCTGTGTGTGTGTGTAGGTGTGTGTGTGTGTATCCATATGTATATACATAAAAGACAGGGTCTTATATTAATTTTTGCTCCAAAAAACACATTGGGACTTATTTTCAGGGAATGTCTTATTTTTTCATGCACAGGGTCATCTTCTTCTGGTTGCCGCACAAGGGTAGAGGGCGGGTTCCACTTAACTGGGGCTTATTTTTGAGATAGGCCTTATATGACGAGCATCCTGAAAAATCATAGTAGGGCTTATTTTGAGGTTAGGTCTTATTTTCAGGGAAGCAGGGTACCTCCTGTTGGAAGTGGATCTTGTTGTAGGTGGCTTATTTTGAGGTTAGGTCTTATTTTCAGGGAAGAAGGGTACCTCCTGTTGGAAGGGGATCTAGTTGTAGGGGGTGGGAAGGATCTACTAGGGCTTCGGAGACCTGCTACCAGCCAGATTACGCTTGTCACATGGGGTCAAATTACACATTGAATGTTTATTTCCTGCTATTATAAGGTTTTCCCTCCAGGTAAAGCCATTCTCTGAAAGCTTACTGAGACCTGGCCATTAAAACATGTCTTAATGACCAAACACAAAACAAAAGGAAGCTAATTTGCATCTGCAGAATGAGTTTGAGCTTGCGGTAGGACAAAAAGAAGCCATTTGTCTGTTAAGGTTGCTAGGCTTCTAATTAAAGGCTAAGGATATGAGCAAGTTTGGCCCATAGCGAGCCACCACTTTCCTTTCCTGCCTATTCCATCCCACCCCCATCATCTTCTGCTCCATGCCTTCCCTTAGCTAGCATGCCAGGCCAAACCATCCCACCCCATCATCTTCTGCTGCATCCCACCTCATCATCATCCTCTGCTCCATCCCTTCTCTTAGCAAGCGTGCCAGGCCAGATCTGCCCACAACAGCCTAAACATGAAAGAATGCAGGCCTAGGAGTGGACATGATCCTGACCCCCCAGATTAGACTCCACGAAGGTGAAAGACAAATAACCTGATCCGATCTGAGGCCGTTTTGTGTCTGAAAAGGGCCAATCCGGCTTACCTCTTTGCCTCCTTTTGCCAAGCCGCAGACCGTGTGCGCATCTAAAAAGCTGCCTTTCAGGTTGAAATATTTCACTTTTCTGTCAAAGAAGAGGAACGCTACTATGAACTTCTAGCAAATGCAGGACAACCCGTAGGTTGATCTTGACAATAAGCCCCAATGGCTAGATCCTAGCGCTGGTTACAAGTCAAGTAGACCTGCGGAACCAACAACGTCCACACGTTCAACGCAACCATCAGCAATTGATTCAACAAGACTAATCAGACGGAGACGAGCAATGGGATATACTGGCCACGGAGTTGAATGTAACTTTCTCCCCAATGCAGGACTGCTTCTTTAATGAACCATTATAATCAGCCTTTAATAATAACAATAATCACGGGTCATCAAGTTAGTTCTGACTTATGGTGACCCTTTGCAGGGTTTTCCAAGTAACGAAGTACTGGTTTTTTTTGTTCCCTTTATTTTCAGGGGTGCCCTGGGACTGTGCAGCTTGCCCAAGGCTACCCGGGCTGGCTTGTTTCCACAGTGAGGAACTGAACTCACAACCTCTGCAGCCAGGTGCGTCATTCACTGAGCTATCCAGCCAGCGGTCTTTTGGGCTTTGAGATTAAACTTTTATGTTAACTTACTTTAACTGTGTGGCCCTATTAAAAAAGATCTCAAAAAGATCATGAATAACATTTGTGATTCAATTTATCGGGTATTTTTGCCTGCAGCTTTCCGTTCACCTTTCAACATTGGATCAAAAAAGAAGAGAAGATCCATTCCCTTTACAAAAACAAGACTGCAGGCACCAGACATGAACAGGTGGGATTACTTCCTGGAATAGCAGACTGAAGAGCTGAATGTCAGCCAAAAGGTAGCCACTGAGAAACCAGAGGGTGGTAGCTCGGTGGTTTAACAATCTAGCTGCAGAGCCTGTGGTTGGCAGTTCGATTCCCCTCTTTGTCTCCTTCACAGGGGCTGGACTCGAGGATCCCCACATTTCCTTCCAGCTCTGCAGTTCTATGATTCTATGATATTATTATACAGTGGTGCCCCGTATAGCGAGGTTAATCCGTTCCGGATTAACCTTCGCTATACGAAAACATCGCTGTGCGGGTAAGGAAAGCCTATTGGAACGCATTAAACTTAGTTTAATG